TTTTTAGGTCTGGGTTGAAATTGAGCTCATTAATCTTCATCTCGTCTCCGACATTGGGGTATTTTGGGGCCCAGACTGGGCAAGAATTCAACCCAGACCTAAAGATTTTTTTTCTGGGTTGAAATTGAGCATTTACAAAACACACCAGGTGCGGACCATTTTGAAAGTTGTGATCTCGAAAAAATGCACGCTGTTGTGACGCGAAGCACATTTCGAAGTCGCATGACTACACAACGACAATCCACCACACCCCGGAAAGCGAAGCTACAATAAACAATCCTCTCCGACACTGCATTGCAAAACAGACTATACTACATTGCCTTGAATGACACTGCACCTGAAATAGAGAGGTAGACTGATAGCAGATAGACAAATAGACAGGTAGACAGTAAAACAAAAACACAAAGAGAAAGAGACTTATAATAGGTAGGCAAGGTAGGTAGATCGACAGATAGATATTTTATTAAATCAAAGGGAGAGAGGGATACATCGATAGATAGAAGTATACATGGAAGATAGGTAGAAAGGTAGAAAGGCAGAGAAAGAGAAAGAAACAGTGAGAGAGATCAAGAACTGTTCAATCCATCAGTGGATTCGCTGATTAAAAAGAAACAAATCTCTCCTATAGGTTTCCTTTTTTTCATACTTCCCTCTAGTATTGTTAGTAGTAGAAAGAGGAGTACTAGTTTGTACCAGTAGTAGTGCATCTACGTCCAAGAAGCTATGCAGATGATTTATCATCTATTGATGCGCAACCTACGAACAACTCCTTAGAGACTCCATAAAAAAGATGCATGAGCACACGTAAAAATTTGCACAAGCCTCAGGTTTACAAATAAATGCAGGCAAAACATTCACTCTTCGGACATACCATGCAGTGGTTACGATCTCTCAAAAAAAATGTTGGACAGAACTTTAACAACAGCGGGCCAGTAAGTGGTCCCAGACCACGCAAACTGTTCGAAATTTACCTTTTGGCTGGCTTGCAAAAATCAAACTTCTACAGCAAAGAACCACTCAGCTCTCATGGCGGCATGGAACCCACAAACTTGCTCTCACAAAGCCTGAGATTAGGACCCTTCGAGCTGATGTTGTACGTTGCCTCTTAAACACGGATGATTACTGCGCATCGCCAGTAGCAATTTTCACAATTCTTGCCCCCCTCTCTAGATCCAGAATTGTCTGCATAGCAGTGCAATTTGACTGCTTCAGAGAGCTGTGAAAACCTCAGAAGATCCTCAGCTTTTAAGCAACTGGTAGACGCAACTTTGCCTAAACATGATGGTTCAGCTCCAAGAGCGTCTCAATCACAGCAACATGAAGCTTTTAGTGCAGAAGTTCAATCGAATTTGCAAAAAAAAACTTTTTCTCCTCAAGATCCAGATGAACTCAGACAAAGCTGAAAAATTTAGCCAGAGATAGACCCCAACAGTTTGCTGGAGCACAGTTTGGAATCCGAAAGGATTTGTCCATTTCATTGCTCGAACTTTGGGCTGCAAACTCAGACCGATTGCAAGATGACATTGCGTGACCTTAGCGAAGACCCTCGTCCCAGAATGAAAAATTTATTTTTTTGCAAGTGGGTGGCTTGCTTAGCCCCGAGGCTAACCGTCGCCATCGACGATTAAAAGACAGCCTTAAATACACGCGTGGTGAAAAGCCCACTAACCACCACATCTCTTGGGAATGCCGAATATTCAAAGATTCACGTGCACAGGCATTAGTAGCGCTATTTCAACCGATCGAAGAATTTTCTATGTGTTTCCAATAGATCACTTTAGTTCCTGAAAATGTAAATATCACCCAGAATAACCTTCACCAAATCCAGATTTCCTTAGTCAACATTTGGCAACGTCACATTCAAGATTGGCAAAATGCAGAAGATCAAGTTGTCATCACACATGCATCATCCGCGCCTGACAGTTCAACAATTGCTCCAGCAGAAGCTGCGAGCAGTAGCACAACACAACCAAAAAACGGACACACTTTACAACCAGTTCCAGAAGGAACTGGTATGTTTTGCGTGAAGTGTGGAATTTAGATAACATATATGAAGTACATCCGACTCAAGATTTTAAAAAATACCTGCAAGTTCAAAAGCCTGCCGGCAGATCACTGGTTGACCAAACCAGGTCAACAGCAAGCAACCAGTCGACTCGACCATGAAGCAAAGAAACTACAAGACCTCAACAAAGCAGGACACGTCTTTGAATGGAATAGACTCACAGGACGAGATGAAAGTGACCCAAGCACATATGGCCTCATATTTTGGACAAAGTGTGAACGCACATGGCCTTGGTCCAAGCGACGCGCAAACATTCCGAGATCAATTTGCCAACGGTCTAAAGCCAGTGCGCCAACTCCAAATTGGGTTACAAATTTTGACACTTCCCACGCAGTATCCCTAGATACCAATGACCAGCAACATGATTTGATTCGAACTGATATTGCCGAAGCTTCTCACATACCGCGACAAAGAATTCGCGGAAAAACTCGACCTAATACCTTTATTGATCCTCACACAATTCCGAATGCAGAACATGTTTCATCAACCACAGCCTCAGGTGGGTCTTCCTTACCACGTACTGGTATCGGCTAGACCGCCTATGACCTGCAGTCCTGTCGCCGCATGCGCAGTGGCTGCTACAAGCCCCTACTACTACTTCTAGCTTCCTTCTGGGCTGCTTCTTGGCTGCTTGGCTGCTTGTGGCTTGCCTCTGGGCTGCTCCTGGCTGCTTCTGGGCTGCTCTGGCTTGCTCCTGGCTGCTCCTGGGCTGCTGCTGGCTTGCTCCTTTTCTGCTTGGCTGCTTCTGGTGCTTGCTTGCTGCTGGCTGCAATCCTTCTGCAAAATGTTGGGACTCAAGATTCCAGGACTTGCTGGCTGTTAACCAGGAACAGGGGAACCATGGAAAATTGATGAAGATGATGAACTTCCATTGATGGACTCATATCTTGAAAAGATTACCAGAGTAACCCATAGGATCCAAAATCCATGGTGCTAACTTTAAGAAAGGAAAACTGGAATGGGCGCCCCCAGGCTTGCTGCCCAGCAAGACCTTTTTGGAAAATAAAACTCAGTAGGTAAAAAACGCTAGAAATGGACCTGCTACAATGTTTGATTGCTTTGGTTTTTTGTTTGGCTGCTTGCTGCTCAGCAAACACACTTCAGTCGTTAAAAAACCTTTGGAAGGTAGATTGACTTGATAGTTGGTTTGGTGGGTTACTGGACAGTAAAGGTTTTGAAAAAACACATTATTGCTAGAACATGTGGAAATGAATCTGCTATACATGTTTGATTAATTTGATCGTTTGTTTGGTGCCTTGCTGGTCAGCAAGACTCTTGCAGAAAAACGGCTGTGCATGGTCTTTTTTGGCTCAGCAGCGGGCACAGAAGGAAATCACTATAGTGATTCAAACCAATGACATTCACTGTCATGATCATTGTTTGTGAACATTGAATACAGCAGGCACAGGAGGAAATCACTTTAGTGATTCAAACCAGTGACATTCCATGTTTGAAGAAAAATGATCTGTTTTAACATGCTTTGCAGATCAAACCAGTGCCATGCAGCTGCAGATGACGACAGATGCAGCAGGCCCGCTCAGCCGTCACGTCTGCAGAAACCAAACCAAAACAATGCCTACTCCGAAGTTGCAGCCGGTTGCGGCCTTGGTGGACAATGTCAACGATGACTTCGCTGTTGCTTTTTCTGAAGCGATGGAGTTGATTGTGAGCCAAGATGAATTTCAGGACATCATGAAGGCTGACCCCATCGGTATTTCTGGTGTTGCTGGTGTTGCAGAAACCGATGCTGGCTCCAAGGCCTGGATCTGTTACATGTAGAGGGATTGGACACGGCTGCCTGCTGATCAGCAGGAGGGTTGCTGCCCAGCAGCAGGTCATCAACAGCGGCGACGCTTAGCCGACGGGTGCAGGTCTGCTACCCAGATGTTGCTGCTCAGCAACTTAAAGCATATCTTCCTGATCAGCAAGAAGGTTGCTGCTGAGCAGCCAGTCATCAACGGTGGAGACCCTTAGCCGACCGGCAAAGAGTCTGCTGCCCAGACGTTGCTGTTCAGCAACTTAAAGCACATCTTGCTGATCAGCAAGAAGGTTGCTGCCGAGCAGCCAGTCATCAACGGTGGAGACCTTAGCCGACAGGCACAGAGTCTGCTACCCAGACGTTGCTGTTCAGCAGCTTAAAGCATAACTTGCTGATCAGCAAGAAGGTTGCTGCCGAGCAGCCACTCATCAATGGTTGCTGCTCAGCAACTTAAACGACTTCTAGCTGATCAGCAAGAGGGTTGCTGACCAGCAACCATGACTGAAGTTCAACGTTTTATTTCTTGGCTGCTGACCAGCAACCCAAAACTTGAACTCCAAAATCGGCGCCAAAGAGATGTAAACATATGTAAGGCGAAACTTGAACTCCCAATCTGGGCCCAAGAAATCTCAAGATATGCTAGACAAGACCTGAACGCCAAATTCATGACATAAAGATATGCAAGGCGAAACTTGAAGTCCCAATCTGGGCAAAAGAAATGGAAAGACATGTGCCACCAAACCTAAATTCCAAATCCGGGCCAAAGAGAAAATAACCCAATATAGCATGAAAAATAACCCAATATAGCTTTTGAAAAATCAACCAATATAGCTTTGACATGTCTTAAGAAGGCCTCCAAATATAGATTGAAAAATAACCCAATATAGCTTTTGAAAAATAACCCAACTGGCTCGGCATAGCTTTTGAAAAATAACCCAATATAGTTTTGACATGTCTTAAGAAGGCCTTCAAAAAACACAACATAACCCCAAGCTGGCCCAATATAATCTTCTAAATGGGCACATAAAAGA